GATTTGGTCCGGACAATATTTAAACAAATATGGAGCATCCCAAAAGAAATTCTTTACTTCAACCAAAAATTGCCTTATGTCTTGTGCATTCTATTGACTTGGGATCATGCTTGTAACAAGATAATTAACAATATCAGCATACCATGGCAAATCAGTAATAGTAAACAATTGCTCATCAGGGAAAGTATCCTTTATGGGCATTGTTTCTATAGAGTCATCAAACACAAGATGATGTAATGTTTTGGCTTGCTTCTTTTTTCTTTTTTTTGTTAACACCTCACTAGTGCTCATGTTAGAGTTCCAGTGTTAGAGCTCTCTATCACTACCCTTAAATTGATGAACCTATTTTCGATGAAATAGTATTTTCCTTGAAATTGATAGTATGTGGGTGTGCTATGGCCTCTTTTGGGTGTTTTTTTTTTTTTTTATAAAAAAAAACAATTTAGAGAATTGACCCACTTTTCAAATTATTTGGAAACTAAGCTACTTTTTAAAATCGCATTTTGAAAATGTAATTTTAAATTGAAATTGCATTTTTAACATACAATTTCACCTTAAAATTGCATGTTAAAAATGCAATTTATGATGATATGGCTACTAAGATATATTGCATTTTCAATATGCAATTTCAAGGTGAAATTGCATGTTGAAAATGCAATTTCAATTTCAAAATTGCATTTCAAAATGTGATTTCAAAAAGTAGGTTATTTTCCCAAATAATTTGAAAAATGGGTCAATTCTGTAAATTGGTTTTTTTAGAATATTAAAAAAAAAATCCCTCTTTGGAAAGGTAAAAAAAAAAATTATTAATTCATTGGCTTATTTAGATCATACTATCTCTTTATATTTTTTTTTTAAAAAAGATAATAAAAAAAAGTCACTTCCCAAAATAATCCATAACAAGGACAATACTTTTAATATATATATATATATATATAAAACCCGATTATGCATAGCCTAGTTAGTTACTATGACTCTTCTGAGGTCTTAATCTCAAGAGAGAGATCATTGGTTCAAGTCTCTCTAAGAGGAAATTGAGTTAAATAGCAAGCATTCAATACTTTGCAATGATGGAAGAACTAACTTGTATAGTTTATAAGTGCTAATCTAACAACTAATATAATCTTTACACATATCAGTAAAGATTTTTTTAAAATGTTACTTTTATGAAGAAGTTGCTTATTTACTCAAGTTAAGATTTATACTTTTTTAATTAAAAACAACTTGTTTGGAAATTGTCAAACAGAATCTAAGAATTAGAGACATTTTAAGGCTTCCTATAAAACTTAGCTAAAAAGCTAGCTAATTAGTTAAAAATAAACTTAGAAAAAAATTATTGCTAAAAAGTTTAGCTTGTTTTATACATTTTTAAGTTTTTACTTTTTCTAACTATTTTTTAGCTTAAACAAATTTAATTGGTTTGAATTTTTGTCAAAAAAAATGAGTTCAACAAATAAGTTAACAAATTTTCAGTCAATAAGATTGCTAAAAATCCACTCCTAAATCCATTCATTTTGTCTCTACTTGGGATGTGGATTGACTTTTTGACCTTTTAGCTTTTTGACTATTTTAACCTAAGGTTAAAAAGTCTCGTTTAGGATGGGCTTTTTGGTTCTTTTTTTTTTTTGGACTTTTGTGAGAGAAAAATAAAATGATTATGATTTGGATGTGACATTTTGTTTTATTCGGATAAAAAGTTTATTTTATCTTTTTGAGACTAAAATAGCCCCAACCCAACCCAAACATTCAAGCCAAACGAACCCTTTATAGTTTATTTAGGGGTCGTTTGGCATTGGCTAATATAGCCAAAATTTTTAGCCTGAGACTTTTTTAGCAACGTTTGGTTTTTGTTTTGAGACTTTTTTGATCTTTGTGAGAGAAAAAGTATAATAATTATGGATAAAAATAGTATTTAGTCTTATTAACTTATATAATTTATTTTATCTTTTTATATTTTTTTTAGTCCAAAATTGTTAGCCAAACGAGCACTTAGCATCGCGTGAACCCATACAGGCTCTTGTAATTTCATGGGTTGTAGCTGTACAATGAGAATATTTATAGAATAATCTTTGATGTTGAATTGTCAAAATGGCAAGTCAAGACAAAGGTTTAGGAATAGACTATTATAATATATATTTTTAAATTTTTTGGTTAAAATAGGAGATAAAAAAAAATTAGTTTTTTATGAGAAAAAAAAAGCTTGCAAAAAGTAGAAAAGAAATGAAATCTTTCATTTTTTGTATAATTTTCAACTTTTAGTTTTTTAGTGACTTTTTAAATTTATGACTTTTTTAGTTCTTTATAACTTGTTTAGTTAGTTGCCAAACTAGTATGTAATAATATTCAAAATGTTAAAATTTAACAATCTTGTTTCAAAATTTTATTTTATTTTTCACAAAACACCAATTATAACTAACATTTATGGGCCACATAGATTGGATAATCTATTAGTCAAAAAACTTGTGGTTTGATGATTCAACTTAGCATTTGTGGTTTTATATATATGATCCATTAAAAGTTCATTATGTGTATTGTTTTAATAATTATATGGAACTATAATTTCTCTTATTTTTTTTATGTATAGATAAGGTAGTTGTGTAATTATAGCCTTACTTAACTCTAACTCAAATTTTGAAACCATCAATTACTATTACTATTTTGAAATTAGAGATAATAAACAAGATGGATGTATTTATATATATATATATATATATAATATATAAGTCTACTTTTTAGATTTATTTTCTAGACCTAGTAATGTGTCAAGAAGATGATTGGTTGATAATTAGAGAATAATTTTCTAGACCTAGTAATGTGTCAAGAAGATGATTGGTTGATAATTAGAGAATATTTAATTGTCAACCAATCATCTTCTTAATACTGAATTTCGAAAATTAGTCTAACTTTTAGACATGAATAGCAATCCTCTAACAACAACAACAACAACAACAACAACAACAATAATAATAATAATAATAATAATAATAATAATAAAATAAAAAATACAACGAAGATTGGGCTCAGGCAAGAACACCAAAGATCTAATTTCAGCTCGGCCCAAATCAATTCATAGGCTCATAAATTAATATCCTCTCACATTGCCCATATAAATACATCGGAATTTGAAATCTTCGAACTCTCTCAATGCAAAGTGTGAACTCTTTGGCACTTCCATATGCATTTCGAGGCTTGAACGACTCTCTCTCCTCCAGGTTATCCCCCTTTCTCTTTCTAAAACTCTCTCTCTCTCTCTCTCTAAAGCACTAATTCGATGCGATTTATTATTATACCCGCAGATCGAGAGAGAAGTGCAAATCAGCAAGTGACAACTCTTAACCGCGAAGCTCTTCAATATCAGATCTATGGAGGAACGGTGCTTAAAACTCGATCAGAAGATCGCATCTCAGCAATTTATGAGTATGAAATTGATACACACGATTCCAAGTACGATGACAATCTTCAACAGATCAGGTAAATTATACATATGTACGTATAACACATTATACACTGAAATAGACCGGCCAATGGTACTCTGTTATTGATTTTTGGATGCACTTAGTCATTGTAGAAATGCATATTTATGCCTGTATATATGTAATTGTGAAAAGAATTAAATTGTTGGATTGGATGGTTTGGTTGGTAATTTAGGGTGCTGAAATGTGAGGAAGAGGAGATGGCGGAGTCGGAGATAAAAAGATAATAGGAAAATATTGATAAAAAGTCCTGGATATGAACAATCTGACCTAAGTCATTGTGAATGATTTTATGTGATAATCAAACATATTTGCTTTAGATTAAAATTTCGGAAGCATTCTGATTTTATCTTCTGGATATTAAGAATAAGAGACAAACAAATTGCAACATCTTGGAGATATGATTAGTCTGTTATTTACTTAAAGTTGGATCCTACAATTTTTGAGTCAGTTCTAGTGTTGTAGCTAGTCGTGAAACTGAGAATTGCATTTGCATCAGCTTTTAAGATCACAGGTTGAAATTGGATTTGCATTAAGAACCACAACTTCCTGTTACTTTTAATTTTCTTTTATCACAACCTCAATATTAGTTTGATTCTTCTTTCAGCTCAAATTGAGCTTTGTGGAACTTTAAGGGAACAATGGATATTTGAATAGTTCTGAGATAGCTGCAGCAGAGATGAGAAAATCTGAACTTTTAGCTGTGAAAGAGAATTTGGATAGAAGCTTCAAATTATCAAATTAAAGCGTAGTTACAAAAGCAACTTCATAGTGTATTGCTGCACAAAATAAAGAGTAGGGATGCTGCGCTAGTCAAATGTCTTGAACAAACTTAGGATCACGATAGAAACTAAGGCAACAAATAAATGCATATAGACTAAACCTTATTTTTTATTTTATTTTACCTTTTTCACATCTGGAATTTAACACTCTTGCGGTACTCTCCAAGTGCCCACATTGGGAAAATGTTCCTGTATTGGGCATAATGTAGCATACAATTCTTTGAGTAGACTCCGGTGATTTCCTGTGAGGGTAATTTTTATGGTTAGGAAGTTGTAATCTTTGAAGAACATAACTTTTTGAAATAGCAAAACCATAAATTCTAAAAGTACTAACAACTTTATGAACTCAATTGACTCAACTCTGTCATTTCTTCCAAAATGTATGAACCATTTTGGGACACACAAAAGTGTTTCCAAGTAAATTACCTGTTGTGGAAAATCGTCATCTTCCATCTGTGCATTAATCAATAGCTTTGCTGCTCTATGTAAAGGTGTTGGATCTCTCTCAGCCTAGTTAATTTTGATAAGGATAACAAAAACTTTAATATAAGACAACTGTATATAGGTATGTTAACTAACTTATATGCTTCATGATATAACTCTTGAAATTCGTACTAACTTGTCCACCATAAATAAGACCCAACATAGCCCATGATGTTTGTACTAGATTTGTTTTGTTTCTGTCATTTCTTCCAAAATGTATGAACCATTTTGGGACACACAAAAGTGTTTCCAAGTAAATTACCTATTGTGGAAAATCACCATCTTCCATCTGTGCATTAATCAATAGCTTTGCTGCTCTATGTAAAGGTGTTGGATCTCTCTCAGCCTAGTTAATTTTAATAAGGATAACAAAAACTTTAATATAAGACAACTGTATATAGGTATGTTAACTAACTTATATGCTTCATGATATAACTCTTGAAATTCGTACTAACTTGTCCACCATAAATAAGACCCAACATAGCCCATGATGTTTGTACTAGATTTGTTTTGTTTCCTTCCAGTGGTTGATATTTCTTTTTCATGCATAAAAATCATCGAGAGTAAAATATCAAACTTTAGAAAAAAACAGAGCATTTGAAATAGTTCTATCATTTCTCACACAATTGTTGGGTAGAACTTTTCTTTTTCTTTTTCTATTTCTAATATATATATTGTTGTGCCCAGTTTGGAATTGGAATTGGGCAACACAGTTTAATTAGGTGTTAGAGCGAAGTCTATAATTGAACACAAAACTTAGTTATGGAAGTTACCATAGAAGGGCATGATTCAAAGGTCTCTCCCCAACCTCCCTCTTCATTTTGTGTTGAAAACAAAAATTCAATGCCTCTACGAACTGCTTGGCTTCAAGCACAAAAAATGTTCCATAGATAGAGCAAATTCCTCAATAGCCATACCTGCTCATGTCATTGAACACATCAATTCTGATTGCCACAGCTCTTCATTTTTAATTTTTTTTTAATGTCTACGTATATAAATTTAGAAGTGCAACTAATTTACCAAGAACCATTGGGCCACTGTATCTGCTCAAGGAAACCTATTGCTTTTGCCACTGAAATTTCGATTTCTTTCTCCCGATGCATTGGATGTAAAGTTTGAATGACAACAGAGCATGGATTATAGATGTAGTGCATTCCACATGCCTAGACAACCAATTGACCAAGGTTAATATTAGCTATCCATGGTATGAAAAATATTTTAATGATAATGAACTAAATTAAAACTTACTCTGTCTCGACCACAATGTCAGCAAAAAGTTCTGAAGGATTCAACATCTACATAAAGAGAAACACGATAGTAAAAATCATTATTTCATAGTAAATGTTAAAAAGTTGAATTCCCGTAAACTACGAAAGAGGACTTGTTTGGGTGTAAAATGATACAAATCACCAGAGTAGTATCCTGGTGGTTGGTGGCTTACTCCCATGTGGATTGGTGACCATGAGGAGATAGATTCTTCTCTTTGGGGTGGCGTTCGGGGGCATGGGCTACCGACTCCTTGTTATTATACCCTAGGTGACTTGGGTCAAACTATGGCTTAAACTAGTCTTGAGGGAGCATTTGTGAATTCTCTATATACGATACTCCACGTTGTTAGTATTAGAATCCTATTCTAGATGGATTTATCAATCCTTTAGACAAAACCGATTTAATTTATAATTGTTTTGTACTTAGTTTTAGAAGTCGAAGTGGATTCAAGTTAGGAAATTGAATTTGATTTTAAAGAAGCAAGATATATCAACATACAGGTCCAGGTTGCTAAAGGTACAAGCTAGCATAGCCAAGCTTAAAGACACAATCAAAGCATTGTGTCTCAATCAATTCTATGTATTGCCTTGCAATGCAAAATGTACTTGAATTGTTTGGTTTTGATTTATGTCAAGTCTCAAAGTACGTGTACAAAAATAATTTGTTTCATCAAATTGGTTTATCTAGTGGGATGTTGGAGTTGATTATGCACTCTGTTAAACGCTTGAGCGAGGAACCGCAAAATGATTTATTTTGAGTCATTTTCAAAGTCGTAATTTAATTGGGATTAGTTTTCAAGCCACCTTCTGGTATCTCCACTATAAATAGGACCTTAGCAGGTGTACCAAAATAAGCATGGAGTACTTTTTGAATACATTGTGTTGAAGGTCGTTCAGTCTCCAAGTCTTCTAAATAATTATTCATACATTGGTGGATTTCCAAAGTTTAATGGGTAAGTAAAAATGATACAAGCTATTACAATCTACGCTAAGTGTTTACCCGGAAAGCAGGTAGTGGAACTGGTGGCTCCCAACTAGCAAATCCACCACTTTCAGGACTCTACATGAAGAAAAAGGTGTAAAAAAAAAAATTTGTTGTTTGAGTTATGTGCCTGCCTCTATGCATTAGAGTTGTAAATGATCTTTGTTGTCAAAAATCAAATATAATATGTATGTTGTACCTGTAAGAATACAAGGACATTCACTGCATCATATAAACTTTCATTGTCAGCTTTTTCCTCTACAATTTCGGTGGGCATTTGTGAAAATCGTAGTAGACACTGCAAAGAAATGGGAAAAATTGGTTAAGACAATTTCAAAATGAACAACCCAATGCATGAGATACCCGCTAAAGTGGGGTCTGACAACCCCAAATTGCTAATTACCATTGAATTACTACGGTTGTAACATAAAGCATGATTACTTTCAGTGATTCAGCTGTGCAGTCCGAGACTACCCAACCTTGATCTTGATTAGACAAAGCCCACGCTCCTTTAGTAAAGCAACGATACATGCTCTCGAAATCCCCAGCTGGATTTTTTTTGATCTTCAAATTTGAAGATCATACAATGTTAGTGAGTGAAATGAAGTCGTTCCATACATTTTGCACGCACACATACAAAAATCATGTTTTTATTTATTTATTGATAAGAAGAAACCTGTGATTCTTTTATGTAAACATGTGCCTTCTTAAGAGAATCCCCATATTCGTCAACCATATTACTTGTTATAATTGCCTGAGTGGCAAGAGTAGTGTCCCATATTTGGCTGCCAAAACTCTATAATTCAACAAAGTAATTAACAAAAATATCCTATTTTCAAATTATAAAGGGCGATTTGGCATAACTGTAAGGTTTGTCATTTGCGTTTCAAGTGGCGCAAGTTCAACTCACAAAACCTCCCAAAAAATAGGGATTAGGTTGCTTATGCCTTAGTAAGAAACTATTATAATAAGTTGCAGGTTTTTATCATATAAACCTGTATTTTCATTCCATCTTTAGCAAGCCACAAATAATCAGGAATTCAAGCAAGATGATGCTTGAACTCATCGCCATCGGGGTTCTCCGCCCACCAACACATCAGTTGCAAACTCTGCAACAAGAACATATTAGATTTGTTTCACACTTCCAATCTAAATAGTTTCGAAACCGATAACCTATTTGATTTTGTTTGTGTTACTTGCCTTTTCGATACATCCTATGGTAATATATCTACTACTCTCTGCTCCATAACACATGTACTTGATTGTTTTTCGGATGGCTCTCTCTCTTATCTTGTTAAAGGGCCAACAGTTCATGATTGGCTCACGTAGATAATGAAGACCATCCCAAAGGAGATCTTGTATGAAGGTATGATGATAGTAGAGATCCTCTTGCATTTTACAATTTAGTATATATAGGCTTCATTAGGATTGAACATGTTCAAAAATTCAGTTCCATATCATAATTGCAATAATAGTAGATTTCCCTAACCTTGCAACAGTCATGGTGCGCTTTATTCCAGTTTATCTCCTCATATGTATTTGGGTGTGTAGACACCTCATTTTTGACTGACCTTAAGACTCAGATGTCATTGATTTAGCACTCAGTGATAGTGCATGTTGTGCTCGTTTCGAGGTTTCGAAGTTTTGGCTGAGTGCCTTGCCCTCCGGACCTCTGAACTCCTTGTGCTTCGGCTCGGTTTGCGGACCAGGCCTTGTTTTCCTTGCCTGAGGGAGAGAGAGGTCTTGCAGAACATCTCTTTGTGGTCATAGATCACTTTTTGTGGTCGTAGGCCACTTTTCCCATTTGGAGACTAATTTCTGGTTTTTAGAGCCTTCGATCGCACACCTTGTCTCGGGACAGCTTAACGTTCTCCGTTTGGCGTGGTTTTTGGACCACACCTTGTTTCCTTGGCCTAGAGGGCCACTGTGGTTTGGGAGCCCACTTTTGTGGTCGTAAACCACATTTGATGCCCAGAGACTAGTTTTCGAGGCTTTCGGCCGCGTGCTTTGCCTCCCGATCTCTTGTCTTGCATCCGTTTTGGTTTGTTTTTGGTACAAACCTTGTTTTCCTTATTTGGAAGATGGTTCAAGGGTGGGAGACCACTTTTTCTCCTTGGAGACCACTTTTCCTTCTACCAGCTAGTTTTCTGGTCGGATAACTGGCTTTCTTGGTCTTTGGGCCCCTTTTTCTGGTCGGTCACCACCTCGCTAGCTTGCTTTCATGCTCTAGACCTCTCCTACCCATGGCCGACCAGTTTGTGTTCTGGAAGACCACTTAAAGTGGTCGGCCACTTTTTGTCACCTTTTTGGACAATTGCAGGACACTGAGACCATCCTCCATACACGTGTATGGAGGGATTGCCTTAAAGCTTAGCTTCTCCTAGAAGCTTTGGCTTTTGCCTTCTATAAGAGGGAGGCTTCTTCTCCCTCCTCTAGGTTCAGAAAATTAGGGTTTGAGTTATAGATATAGCTTTGTATCTATCTTGACTTGGTTCTTCATTTTTGTGCCTTAAAGTGTCATTTTGCCTTACTTTAACACACAAACACACACTCAAACGCCATCCTTTTGCTACTAAGGTGCTTAGGAGCTGGTTTTGGTGTTCTTGGGTTGGTTTGAGCTTGAAAAACCTGCTAGAGTTGCAGCTATAAAGAAGTTCATCAAGGGTGAGTTTCTATCCCTTAAAACCCCCATTCTTGCTTAAGCTTTTGGACCCTTTTGCATGCTGTTTTAAGACTAACTTCCTACTGGAAAAAGTTCTGTTTTTGCATGCTTAAGAAATTTCTTTAAGGTCACTTTTTCGTTTGGGGTGGTTTACTCCCTCTTAGGCCTTGTTAGGCCTTGTTTTGAGCCATCCCTTTAGGCTCTTGTTGAAGTCTTTGCATGACCTTTCTACCACTGAAATCCAGAGGATTTTTAGTGGTGGAAAGGTTGTTTTGGAGTCCTAAATAGGATAGGGTCATCCCCTCTCCTTGTATTGTGTTTACTAGCTTCATATGCCTCATGTTTGAGCACCTTTGTTAAGCTTGTGTTAGCTTGCTCTTAGCTAGTATTTGTGGTTATTTTGCTGACGCATGTCACTATTTTTACTTGCTTTGGTCACTCTATGCATGGTTAATACACTTGTGGTGTAAATCTCTTAAACTAGTTTTGTATGCTTCATGAAGTAGCATGTCATTATAGCTTGGTTTGAGTCCATTTCAGCATGTATTTGGTGTTGTTTTACCATGTCATACCTCTGTTAGGGTTTGGTTTGGTCACCTCTTGCATGCCTCATGCACTTGTTGTGCAATCCCATGAAATTGCCTAACATGCATCATGCTTTGACATGTCATTTTAGCATGCTTTTGGCTTAGCTCTAAGAAGATTTTGTTCATGTTTTAGCATGTTTAAGGTCTGATTTGTGTTGTCTTGGTCATCCATGCCATGCTTTGTATAGCTATAGTGCAATCTAGCTTGTTAGCTTTGTGCATCAAGTCCTCTAGCATGCTTTACTTGGACTATTTGAATGATTTGGCATCATTTGTAATGTTATTTCAATCCATGTTTCGTGCTCACTTGCATGTTTTGGTCTTTCAATGCATTGGAGGGTTTGCCCATTTATGCCTTAACATGAATCATTGCGTATGCCTTCATGCCTTAGCTTGCGAGCCATCATTTTAATGTATTTTTGGGGTTATTATGCCATGATATAACTCTGATTTTTGTTGCTTAAGTCATCCCATGCTTGGTCTTAATAGGTGTAGTGTAATCCACCTTATTTGCCTTGTATGCATCATGCCTTATGCCCCTCATGCTAGCAGGTTTTGGCTTCCTTCCATGCATGTTTTAGACTCATTTTAACATGTTCTAGGACTGTTTTGGATTGCCTTATCCATATGCTTCATGTTTTGTATAGTTGTAGTATAAGTGCTCTTGCTTGCTTCAAGCTTTAAGCACCATTGCATGCTTTATTTATGTTGTGTACATGGTTTGGCATCATCTAACATGACATTTCAGAGCATATAGGACTGTCATGTTCCCACTTCTTTCATGCTTTGAATGCCTTTGAGCATTGTGCATTGTTGCCTAGTTTATGGCTTAGCTTGTATGCTTGCATGCCTAGGTATTTGAGCCCTCATCTTAGTATGTTTAGGTCCTTGTTTTGACCTAATTAAGCTCTGTCCATGGTTGGTTCATGCATTTGTGCAATGTATTGCATGTCCCTAGAGTAATCCTCCTTGTTAGCTTTCATGCTTTAGGATTCTCACATGCTTTACTTGCTTTGTTTGAATGATTTGGCATCATTTCTTACCTCATTTCAGTGCCCTTAGTGTTTTCACACTTGCACATTTATCACTCTTCGAGCCTTCTTGAGGGTTGTGCTCTTGGGCTTAGTTGAATGGCCAATACATTGTGCATGCATACCTTGCCTTTTGTCCCTTTGTTTTTATCACCAATGGCCACTAATTTGGGCATGACTGAGGTCTACCCCTTTTGGTTTAAGTCCATTGATTATGCCTTGTATATTGCATTGAGTATGCCATATTGTTTTATTGCATTGAGTATGCCATCCTACATTGCATTGTGCATGCCATGTGGTTATTTGCATTATGTATTCCAAGTTGTTCCTTGCATTGTGTATGCATGTTTCTAACATTGCTAAGTTGCCCTTGTAGCATTGCATTGTGCATGCATGTGTTAGCATTTTTCTTTTGCATGCCATTTGCATTGGTAGTTTGATCATGTTGTATTGCATGTTGTTGCATGCCTGTCCCTTACATTGTGTATGCCATGTAGTAGCATTGTGCATGCCATGTTATGTGTTGCATTGTGTTTGGAATAGGTGCTAGCCCAAACACGGGAAAAGAGGGACGTTTCATACTTTAAGTGATGAAACGTGTCTTAATTCCCGGTCGCCGACGCTCCGGATTACCCATGATGGAGTTTAGGCCTTGTTGTGTTTTCATATGCATTCATTTCACATTGAGTCGTGCAATTCGACTCCTCGACCATCATGCATCGAGATGCATGATTAGTGGCACGAGGATCGAGGTCTACACCCCCCAGAGCTTATGCAATGATGGGGAGAGTGGTTGTGCACACATATCTTGCAAATACATTGCCATGCCCTTTCTTGCTCTCTGTTGCAGCAAATTGTAGTTCAGCAGCAACAAATGGTCGGCCAGCCAGAAAAACTAGCTAGCCGACCACTTTTCTAGTTTTTCTACAAGAAAAGTGGTTGGCAGGTGGTTGGAGAGACCAAAAGTGATCGGCCACCCTCCCACAGGGTTCCTAAGGTGAAGTTTAAGCTTTCTGGAGCTTGGTGCAAGTTTCTGAGAGCAGTTGCAAACAGAGGCAAATTGGGGCATCGCGACAGATTTCCGAATGAGGTGGATGGGCTTGCATGCATTCCTCTCCCTCTGAGGCTCCTGATTTGCTTGTTTCCTTAGCTACCATGCTTAGATAGCTAGCTTTTGCTTTGGTTTGTACCTTTAATAGTTAATGCGTTAGTTATTTCAATTCGTTTTGTAATAATTAGTTAACTAGGGTTAGTTAATTAATTTCTTGTGTAATAATTAGCTTAATTAACTTAGATTAGCTAGTTAGCTCTTTATTCGGTCTCTCCCTCGAGAGGGCCAAGTGTTGTAATAAGCGTGCGTGTATGTGATGCATGTCTTCCAACCCCCATTTCTTTCTCCCTTTTACTTAATTGCTTATGATGGTTAGTTTTAGGGCATTTTTCATTTAGCATACTTTATGCTCACATGCGTGCATCCATTCATCTATATTGCATGCACTGGGCTCGGCGCATCATA